TAATTATCATTAATAACATATTCAAAAATAATGTTAATAAGAATAAAACCTAGGATAAACTCTAATAAAAACCATAAAATAAACGATAGAATTTGATGTTTTTGTGTACTCAGAAAGTTCCTAGACTCTACAATCGGTCAGTGTGACCGTTTACACGATAACTTTTGAAAGGAGAGTTCGATCGCGATGAAATTTTCTACACAGTTTAGTCTCAACAATATCTTGGTCGAGAGAAGAAGATGAGAAGAATTGGTCGAGCCGTTCCTGAGTTATTGCCAAAAAGACTCATTTTTTCCCTATGCCTTCCTATAGGAAAATCGACCCATCTCCACTTTCGTAAAACACTTTTCCTTGAATAGTCAAAGAAAAGCCCAACTATTCGAAACCATTCGATAGAGAATTTCGCGAGCTACAAAATCGTATATAAAACATAAAGAAACAAGAAGGGTAGCTCACCTATTGCAAAGATAAACAAACGGAAATCGGTTCTGTTTTTGTCTGCCCTCTAATCGAATTCACAATTCGAGCTCTATATTCCGATCACAGAGATAATACTTCGAGCTTTTCTGGGATGGACAACTCGAATCTGTAATCCACTTGACTCGAAGCCCCATTGATTGAGCACTGACCAATAGAAATGAAGTTATAGGAAAAATGTCTTTGTTAGGACGAGCCAAGGCGAAGAGTCGAAATCTAAGCTGTATTCATCTCTAAATCCTATTGGTTGATCATTAGCCAATAGAATTGAAGTGTTTATAGAAAGGATTTGTTAGGCTAATTTAAATATTCGCACATTCGTCGGATGATCGATTTGTCTGATTGACGTATTTGAAGTAGAGATAACTCTCGGATTTAAATCCGAGGTTTCCACATTTATTATTATTTTCAATTCTAATGAATATAAATATTTCTAGAGATGATTATTATGAAAAGAAAAACTAATAAATGAATGTTAAACGCGAGATAATATTATTGAAATATATGATAAACTAATTGAAAGAGATTTGTTAAATAAAATAAGATAAATCAATAATATAGAGATTTTATTTTTTAACCATTTTCTCAAAATAGGAAACAAACAATTGATCTTAATTATGAAAATGATTGAAAACGTTTATTTATGTGAGAGAAGAAAAAGTGAAATAGAATCTGATGGTATATTAACATAATTATCATCTATAACATCACCATATATAGATTTATCATTGACAACTATTTCAAACTCTTAGAAATATAGGAGAATATACAAATGGTGGTGCAACTCTTATACCTACATATTATTATCAATTTTTACGTTTATCAAATGAAAATATTCATTTATTTCTTAATTATTTTTTTAATCTTGTTTATCGTGAAACAAATCAACGTGCTCAATATCCTATTGGTCTTATAGATGATGGTACAAGATATTTACCTGATTTAGTTGATTATTTTAGTGTTAACATATACAAAAATGATTGTTAAAACAACAAAAATATATTTTATTTAAAAGATATTTTAACAACAACTATCGGACGAATATAGAAATCGTTTTCTACAAACTTATTCAAATTGAACATTTCGATATCGAACATTAATCAGCATATCATTTGTTGGAACTCTTACGGGAAAAGAAGAATCTGGGAAGAATAAATAAAAGAATTCATTGTTTTTTTCCTAACCAATCAATGTAATGTGTTAATTGATAAAATCTACCTTGTAGAACTGGCTAACAGAGAGAATATAGATAACGAATCTAGTCTCCTGCACTTTACATAGAGACTTACCATTTTCACTATTCAACGAGAGAATATTCGAACCCATACAAATTTCATTAGTTAGAAATTGACTAATCAGATCAGTTCTTTGTGGATATGCTCGAAAACGATATTTTGAAGATATTTACCTTTTCGATCTAAGCAAGAGCGATATTTCTAACTTGTTCTCTTTCAGAATTCTAAGATTTTTTTTCTGATAATCTCGATTTCAGCCAATTGACCTGTAATCATTTGGAAAAGCAGTTAGACAGAGGTAATTCATTATCGTCATATTTGTTTTTCTATCCGAAATAATTTGTAACTATTACATAGATCGAAAAGAAAAATGACCTTGAAAATATCATCTTCGAAAATCTTCACCAACAACTCATCTCATTGGTCAATTTGCTGACCAATTCGATTTCTATATGCTTCACTTTAGAACACTTAGAATACACTGATATATTCATGATCAAAGGTATTAGTTATTTCCAGTATGTTATACTCACTTTGAAAATGAGAGTCAAAGAGAGATATTACAATTTTCAATCTTATTCCATAATTCTATCACAACAGAGTGATTTTGTTCCGTAGCTAATCAAGGAAGTCTTTCAACTGATCAGCTATGATTCAGGTCCAAACTCTTCTTAACATATTCATAATGATATACATAGGTCAGTCGAAAATTAGTGGCGATGGTATCCTAATTCGTTATAGTAATCTGTGAGGAACGTTTTTTTTCTATGGAGTCTTATAGAGAAAAGAGAGCGAAGATTTTTCTATGTTATTTTATCATACTTCAACTAATATTATAATAATAAACTTTCGATGAAATCTATTTTGTTCGGAGATCTACTGGTTATAGAGACCTGCACGGA